TGTTCCTCGGCAGTGAGGGTGGAAGTGCAGATGACACGTATATCGTGCCAAGTAAGGCTGTAAGCCTGGGTGAGGTACTGGAACTCTTTGATGTAAGTAGAGGGGTCAGCTGAAAAAGAGCCGAGCCTGCGCTCGATTTGTGACAGATCCTGGAGGGAGAAGGGGACATGCACTCTAACCAAACCTTCCGCCCCAGCCACCTCGCGAAGCGGTGCCAGGAGAGTGGGCTGGTGTGAGTGGGTATGGGCTGCCACTGGGGAAGTAAGAGGAGGTGGGGCCTCTAAGGCGGGAGGCGCAGAAGGAGCGGCCGTTGGGGAGACAAAGGGAGGTGGAGTCTCCAAGGCGGGAAGCACGGAGGGAGTGGCCACCGGAGAAGCAAGAGGAGGTGGGGCCTCTGAGGCAGGAAGCGCGGAGGGGGCGGCCGCTGGGGAAACAAAGGGAGGTGGAGTCTCTAAGGCGGGAAGCGTGGGGGGAGTGGGGGAAGGGCTAACGACTGGTGGTAGCTGGCAGCTGGGGTTGGCGGGAGGCGAGAGATGGTCAGGCAGTTCCTCCTGCTTTGAGTAAGGCGGGGGAGAAGTAATAGAAATAGTGGAGGAATTTTTGCGAGGAACTTGGGCTAAAAGAACCTGGTGTGTAGAGCAAGTGGAACAAAGGTCCGGGTGGGTACGGAGATCCCAAAAAGCCTGTACATAAGGCACCTCGCGGTCTTTGCCTGTACGGTGGCAGAAATTGTCAAGGTCACGAAGGATATTGGAATTGAAAGTGCCAGTCGGGGGCCAATGTGACTGGTTATCGAGCTGATACTGGGGCCATGCCGCTTGAGACAAGAAAATGAGTTTCTTTCACCTCGGGGTTTGCGAGTATCCCAATTTGGAGAAGTTTCGCAATAAACACCCAAGAGGGGAGTTAGGGGGTATTTTAGACTCCGCGTTACCCATGGCGTGCACAGCAGTAATTTCCCTGCCAACGGCTGGGTAGATGCAGGAAGAGGCGTCCCCCTTGCACCGCAGATACCTAGAGAATTAACGGAGGGAAGAGTCAGAGAGGACGTCCCCTGTCTGGCAGTTCCCGGAGGGGCTCCTGGAGCCGGAACGGAGGACCTTCCTCGGGTCGGCCGATGCTAGGCGAGGGGTCCGGCGGATTGGGAGGGACTACTGTGCACACCACGTGGAAGGAAAGGCAAGAGAAAAAAATGAACTTACCTTAGTCGGAGCATAGAGGTGTCGGATCCAAAAAGGGTCGCCGGAGGAGGGGGCTGCGGCCAGGCCAGCAGCCCGCGCTCCCGGGTTTCGGCACCACTTGTGCGACCCTGGCTGTGGGACCCCGACCCACGGAGGCAGGCACTCAATAGACTCGAGGCAGGACGCATGGTGACCGGTACCGACTTTATTGGGATCTCCGGGCGACTCAAGCGGGAAAGGAGGAATCGCGCGCTTTCTTTGTTCGGTTGACTTTATAGGGACAGAGGGCCTGGGGCGGTAGGAGAGCTGGTGGTGCGGGTGGTGATTGGTTCAGTGGGCCGCTGGGCGGGAAGGTTGCTGGTCTTGGGCCGGGCCAGGATAGAGTGAGATAAGGGACCCTCCCTGTGGGGGAGGAAGGGCCTTCCTTATCGGGAATTAGGCCCTTTCCACATGGCTGGGGAACGGGGCCAAAAGTCCTCTACCAGACAGATACCAGAGGACTTTACTCTTAATAAACTGTTTATCCCTATAGCATTAAAGAAAGGTAGTTTTACTGAATCTTTAATACAGGTACCCAATGTTACATAGAAATAAACATTGGGCCGGGCACGGTGGCTCACTCCTGTAATCCCAGCAGTTTGGGAGGCAGAGGCGGGCGGATCACGAGATCAAGAGATCGAGACCATCCTGGCCAATATAGTGAAATCCCGTCTCTACTGAAATACAAAAATTAGCTGGGCATGGTGGCGGGTAGTCCCAGCTACTTGGGAGGCGGAGGCAGGAGAACTGCTTGAAGCTGGGAGGCGGAGGTTGCAATAAGCCAAGATCGTGCCACTGCATTCCAGCCTGGCGCCTGGCGAAAGAGGGAGACTCTGTCTCAAGAAAAATAAATAAATAAATAAAATAAGAAAAAGAAATAAACATTGGTCAGATTATGATTAATGAGAGTGATAATGTTGATGATGATGACGGATAATATTAGCCTTCACTCCTGACTGCTTAATAATGTTTTCCTACATTCCCTCTAAAAGTTCCATCTAAAAGTTTATTTTCCTGGAAAAGGCTGCTGTTACATATTTTTCATCTGTTAAGTCTTGGCATTGAATATCTACAGAAAGTTATTATTTCTCACTCTAGTCACAACCCTAACATTTTATTAAAAGAAAATGGTAGGCTGGGTGCAGTGGCTCACACCAGTAATCCTAGTACTTTGGGAGGCCGAGGTGGGGGATCACAAGGTTAGGAGTTCGAGGCCAGCCTGGCCAAGATGGTGAAACTCCATCTCTACTAAAAATACAAAAATTAGCCAGGTGCAGTGCTGCGTGCCTGTAATCCCAGCTACTCCAGAGGCTGAGGCAGGAGAATCACTTGAATCCAGTAGGCAGAGCTTGTAGTGAGCCAAGATCACGCCACTGCACTCTAGACTGGGTGACAGAGCAAGACTCTGTCTCAAAAAAAAAAAGAAAAAGAAAAAGAAAAGAAAAGAAAAGAAAAGAAAGGAAGGAAGGAAGGAAGGAAGGAAGGAAGGAAGGAAGGAAGGAAGGAGAGAAAGAAAGAGAAAGAAAGAAATGGTAGAAGTGAAAAATTAATTCATTTCTTTAGCTTCTATAGTCATTTATGAAGATATGGTTTATTCCAAATTTGTACTCTTAGAGAAAAAGCTGAATGAGTAATTGAATGAAAGGGAACAATCCTATTTTCTCCAAACAGAACAGTTACTTTGAACGCCTACAACAGATTAAGGGAGTTTTACTCACTGTATAACTTTGGATATACATGTGTACCTGTACGTACATTTGTCTATTGTATTTGCTACAATTTGGGTACCTTTGATTTCACTTTGTTCTGAACTCAGAATAGTAATAATGAGCAGGGCATTAGGAAGAGATACTCACTCTAAACGTTTTTAGAGACTGATTTTAATGTGCTTATGAACAGATAAGGAAAATACAGAGAAAACCTCCTTTCAACTTCTTTTAGCAAAGAAAACAACATACCCATGTCAAAAAAAAAATATATATATATATATATATATATATATATATATAGGAAAGCTGCAGATCATTCAGATTGTTTGTAGTGTTTTCCTATGTCACTGAATCTTTAGGTTAATTCAATCTTGAGGCAAAGAAGTGCTCCTGTAGCTATTTTGCAATTATTTATGGTTTCTCAATTTCTCAAATATTCCTTTTCTAATTAAAGGCTTCCTAATGCTAGTAGGTAGCTGTTAATTTTTAAATTGCAATTGCAAATTATTTAACAGCCTCTAATGTTCTGTACACCCTAAACCTTTTAGCTTCTTTATTGATATACTAATTATAAAATTAAAACATCAATAGTAAGCAGATGAGCTAATATAAGTGGTATCCATGCTTTCTTTGACGTGCCAATCAATAAAGGTGTCATGATGACTTTCAGTTCGATGATCTAGCTACTGAAAATGGACACTGCTTTACAAATAAATATTTAAAGTCGTCATTTACACTAACAGTTATATCCTTGCCCAACGTTTTGGTTATAATGGTTAAACTATCCTCAGTGACATCATGTACTCATGGCATACTTGACACAGGCGAAATTCCAAAGGAAAATCAAGTCCAGCAGATAGAAAGGGGACATGACTTTGAACATGGTAAAACAAAAACGCCAAAGTGATTTTGTCTTATTTTCCAGGCGCATATGTACTCCAGGTCAAAGCCACAGATGCAGATGACCCGACCTATGGAAACAGTGCCAGAGTCGTTTACAGCATTCTTCAGGGACAACCTTATTTCTCCATTGATCCCAAGACAGGTAAATTTTTTATTAGAAGCAACATTATCACCAGCCCTTCAAATATTTAAACTTTAATTAAATCTTGGCATGGGGAGTTGCATATTCTAATACAGCCATAAAGATTCAGTGCGATGCATGTTAAGCAAAGAAATCAGATCTTACCTTGCTGCTGAAGAATGATTTCCTTTTAAGTGAACTTTGTGTAAAATAAACCTTTTAACATATCTTTATAAAGGTCAAATTTGTTAGGTTGGCAGTCACTGTTTGTCTTATTTAAAATTTTCAAAAGTCTACTTTAAAAAAATTCTTCCAGCTATAATAGCTTTTCATTTCAAAATTATTGGATGGGTTCAATTATATTTAGTTTTAGGCTTTAACGATACATGGTAAGATCCTGGAGCTTCTGTTGCTATATATATAAGGGTTATGAATGCTTGATTTAGATTAATAGAGACTTACACTTGTAATGGAAGAAAGGAGAGACTTAACAAACTTGCAATACCAAGATCATTGGTTCTGTTTGCCTGTGTCTACAAATCCAGTCCCATTTTTAACTAAAAAGAAATGGCAGTTTTCAAATCCAAATATAATATGAGTAGCACAAGAAGGGCAGGAGGCTATGCACATGGAATATTTTGTCTTTCCTTTTAAATAAATGGTCTCTCTATTTCTAAACAATCAATTTTTGGATGCCAAATACTTTGCTAAGGAGACTTAGCCACTTATCAATTATCAAAATAGGCTTTCCGTGTCACAGTTGGAGCAGATACCTCACAATGATGGTTATTTTGTCAGTTTTTATGTACTACATTAAATCATATAGCAAACTGAATTTAATGTGGTGTATCATGTGAACTTAAAATAATGAAGAATTGTTCTCATACTGAACTAAGCTACATTTTAAATTTCTGAATTAATTTTTAAATATCGACATCCATTTTAAAACTATACATTTCAGATACTACGCATTCAAAGAAGTTAAACATTTTAAAACTGATACTTCCTAAGAAGTTTGTGTTAAAATCTGTATACCAATGAGATATGTTAAATAATAATTTTGTATAATAATGTTGCCTAGAAACATAAAGTCTGTTAATGTTTCTTAACAAAAGTGGACCTGCAAAATCTGCATAACTTTCTAACAACTGAGCCCCCCATTCTCTCTTAATTTCTTATCATCTTCATTAAGCCAAAAAGCAGCAGAAGTCATCAAAAAAATAAAGGACTAAAGCAGGGAGTCACTCCCTTCTGTAAACCTGAAGAAAGGGTAGAGTGTAGTAAGGACAGCATCTGTCCTTTGAGCTATCCATTAAGAAGTGAGTATCAGCGCTGAGGAGAATCCAGAGTGGTTTAGGACAAAGAAGCTCTTCTGATTTGGATGGAATTTTGGAGAACAAAGGCCAGGCTGTCAAATGTTAAAAGTGAGTGCATGAGGGAAAAATTACACCTTACCACACAAGAGATTTTTCAAGAAATACGGCAGTAAAGATAAGAAAATATTTAACAATATCATCTAAAAGGAAGTTTTGTGGCTATTTTTTAGCTGTGAAAAAAATCACATATATATTTGTAGAAAAGCGGGGTAAATTGGAAAAAAAAAAAAGAGGTTGAAGAAATTGTTCAATGAAGTTTATAATGCATAGTGTTCCGGAGGAATTAAGGAGGTTTGGACAATAGGCAGAATATATAAAAATAATAAAGGAAAATTATCTAAAATGTTTCATTTTATCAGATGGGGCCACTATGGGTTATTTTTTGTCTTATATAATTATGTATCTTTTTGAAGTTTGCTCTAATGGGTAATCTGACCAGAAATGGAAGTACGGACAATGCATGTCTCTTAGATCTCTTCAGCTTGTGCAGAACACTCCTCAGGGGCAAGAGGAATAAAATAATGAGAAAAGAGAGTGTATAGAGATTAGTGAAGAAAGAGCATATGAAAGGTCGCTTACTTGATTACAATGATAAACTATAAAGAAGGTAAGTTTATATACTCAGAATAAGAGTGAGTATTCTCACTTAGAGAGAGAATTAAGCATTTAACATTAAGGGTTTAATATTGGTAAAATAACTGTAGATAAAACCACATCTAACCTTGAAAAAGCGAGATGAGAATCAAAGAACGATAAATTTAAACATGAAGAATGAGTTAAGAATGTAATTGTTACGGGCAAATGACTACCAAACAAATTTATGATCCAAAAAAATACACTTCCCTTGATTTCACTTGGCCAATGTCAACTTTGGATATATCCTAGTGTCTTTAAAAAGCTTGTTTTACCATACAGTATGTGAATATGTAATGTAACATTTATAATTTTGTATTTATATTTCTATAAGTTTACTATTTAGGACTAACAGTGAAACAATTCTGTCATAAGCTATGTAATAGATTTTTGAAGCATCGATTTTCACTGGAGACAGAAGTCTTCATACTAACAAGGCCTCAGACCACTAGGCAGGAAAAGAGTGGATGATGAAGCGCTTCATTAAGAGAATGAAAACTAGTTCTTCATGCAAAGAAACCATTAAGAAGACTTTTTGTCAAATTTATCACCTTGTGGTAGATAAGTGTAAATCAAAAATCAAGGATAATTGCAATTTCTCAGAAATAGTCTCCATTTGTTCCAGCCATATAGCTTCCCTTTATGATTTATTTGCTGTTATTAAATAAAATGCTTGAAAAACTAATATTATCTGAAACTTTCCACATTTGAGTGTAGAAAGCAGCTTAAAACAATTCTGAAAAGAAGATTCTCATCAAAACCTCTGGTGCTTAAATATTTATGAAGTGAAAAAGAGATAATTGTGTGTTTCATTTGAAATGAGAAAATAAAAAGATTTCTGCATTGATACTGCTGTTTTACAAACATCCCCAGCATCTCTAAGTGGATATGGCAAGTTTATTTCTAAACAATATAAATTGACATATTCTAAACAGTATAAATTCATTTATTCCATGAAATAAACCAAGAAATAATAGTCCTTTTAAAAGCAGTGTATGTGACAATTTTTTGTCATAACTATGAAATAATTTACTCTGACTTAAAATCCAGACACATTCATTTATATGCTTCAGATGATTAGTAAATGGTATTTAAAACACACAAAATGTAGCTCCGACTATAAAACATTAAACAATTATGTTTATTATACTTAACATTTGTAAAATATTAAAATGTTTTTATATTAACATATTGTATTATTTTAGTATACAAATTATTTCAGTTAATGTTATAAAATATTTAAAAACACCTATAATCTATACAACATTAAACAAGAGCAAAAATATTATAATATTTAATTCACCCTGATTAAATCAGGGTGCTAAACATCTCAACAGTTTTGATAATAGAGTAACTCCATTTAAGAAAACAAATATTAGTATAAATGATGAACTCTCATGTCTTAATTTATTCTTAAAATTCTGTTAATGCATTTAAATTTTCCCTAAGTGATTCTAAATAACTAAACTGAGTTCAGTATTGTCATATTGCACATCATATGGTGATGATACACTGTATTTTTCTAAATTATCTGAGCTCTACTTGAGAATGCATCATAATATTATTTTACCTCAATATCCTCTTGTTAATCTTTAAACTTGATTCTTTTCTATCACGGTAAAATATACTCAACATAAAATTGACTATTTTAACCATCTTAAGTGCACAATTCAGTAGCAGTAAGTATGTTTACATTTTTGTGCAACGATTATACCATCTATACAAAACATTTCTCTCCATATCTCTTAATTTATGTACATTGTCAAAAAATGCATCCTTTATAAATGTTTATTTTACATGTTTCTACATTTATAAAATTCTTATAAAGAAAAACAATAGAGTGAGAATAGATGTGCATGAGATACTTTAAAAATGTTTTATTCCCTGTTCTGATATTTCTTGGTGTGTGATCTTGTTCTAAATTCTGCTTAGGGAAACATGATAAAGTTTGCTCACATGACTGAAACTTTCCCAAGATTTTTGTCCTGAGTCTATCAACTTTTCATTCAGAGATAATAATCTTCAAGTCTTTCTCCCAACGAAACCTCCTCCTATAGTTTGACTGATATTATTCTTGTATGTCTTCTAAAATGTATTGGTGTTATAAAAGCTTCATATTGAAACTAAAGCACGGGCCAATAACTTTATATTTTGAGCTGACACTTTACAATACTATACACATACTTATTCTGATGACTTGAACATTCTTTAAAGAAGTCAAATTTATTTTGTATATCAAGTATAGAACATGATGTTATAAGAGATACACACACACAAACACACACACACACACACAGTGGAACTTACTATAGTACGTTACTATAGTAGAACAAATTAACATACCCATCATCTTATTTATTCTCCCCTTACATTCTGCCCCTTCTCATGGCAAAGATAGTTATTATCTACTCATTTAGCAAAAATCCTAAATATGATACGCTATTACTAACTATAGTGCTCATGGTGTACCTTAGATCTTTTAACTTGTTTATCCTGTATTTTTTCTATTTGTATCTTTTGATCTACATCTCCCCATTTTCTCTCCCCTACCCTGACCCTTATAACCTTTCTTTTATTCTTTACATATTTGGCACTTTTTTTAAGATTCCACGTGTAAATAAGATCACACAATATTTTTATTTATGTGCCTGGCTTATTTCACTTAAAACACTGTCTCTCAAGCCTATTTATGTTGTGGCAAATGACAGGACCTCCTTTTTCAGGTTGAATAGCATTCCATTATATGCGTAGCCACAGTTTCTTATTCCATTTGTCCAGTGATGAACAGGTACATTGCTTTTATATATTGACGACTGGGAATAAGGCTGCAATAAACATGAAATGCAGATATCTTTGTGAGGTGATAATTTCATTTCCTTTGAGTATAGATCAAGAAAAGAGATTGGTGGGTCATATGAGTATGGAACATTCTCTTTTGTTGAGACAGAGTCTCACTCTGTCACCAGACTTGAGTGCAGTGGAGCTATCTTGGCTTACTGCGATCTCCGCCTT